TTAGTTCATGAACTTTCAAGTTTGTCTATTTGGTCCCTAAACTTTAAATAGTATTGAATAGCTCCTTCAACTTTCAAATTTGTGTGTCAATAGGCCCCTAAACTTTTTATAAGTAAATAATCTATTAGATATAAAACTGAATTTTTTTTATGCATGATAAGACCCTAAACTTTCAATAGGTCATTAATGTATTAACTTTTTTATAATTAATTGTTCTATTAGATATAAAGTTGAAAGTTCGTGGTCTTAGACAAATTTGAAGTTCAAAGTTTTAGGGACATTTAGACAGACTAAATAGACAATGTTGAAAATTCATGAACTAAGCTTGTAATTTAATCTAGATTTGAGCGTCCTTTTTCACAATAGAATCATGTCGAGATCCAATTACCGCTACTGACATTTAGTCTCCTATTCATGATAGGTATAGTGTTTGCCAACAATGAAGTAAAAATAAATCAGTCTTTTTCCATTCTTCCAGCTTAGCGAGCATTTTTGCAATGCCCAGAAGATGCCTTTGATTTCTTTGCATATGAACGGACATTTATTTCAGACCAAAACATTTTCAGGTTCAAATCCGACGACCATTATCTCAAGGAGTTGATTGCAGAATGGTGTGAAGGAGTTCTACAGAATAACAATCAGCAGCAAGAGGAGGCGACAGCACCCTGTAATAGAACCGACATCGGGAAACCACGATGTTTAATTCTTGAAAAAGTTGCTGAGCATCTGCAGAAGAGTTTTACCGAAAGCCTAGCGATTGACCTGCAAGAGCTCACAAAGGTTCGCATTATTATGAACTGAATTTTCTATTTGGAAAACCTGCACCAGTTTGCCCTTAAAATACGCCTTGTTTAAATTATCTCAAATTTCAAAAGTATGCCTGCATGAAACTAAGCATCTGGTGAATGTAATCAGGTCGAAGCCCGTATCGTCGTTCTCGCAGTTTTGCGAATGATCAAGGAGAATTATGCATTAGGTAATGCCATACTCCAAAACATATCTACTTGCGAGAATAGTATCATCTGTCTAAGCACACCTCTAAGAATAGTACTGAATATTAGGAATTACAGATCTCCACAATGGTACGATATTGTCCACTTTCAACATAAGCTCTCATGGCTTTGCTTTGGACTTACTTATAACTTAGTACCAATGTAGATGTATTCCTTCCTTATAAATTCATGATCATTCTCTAAATTAGCCAACGTGGGACTCCCTCCCACCCGTCCTCAACACTGAACCCTTGTGGACTTTAGCAGCGTCCTTTGATCCATTAGGGGTGCTAACATTGTTCTCTTGGCTGCAGGAGAATCAGTAAAAGATGATATATTCATCATTTTAGGAGTGAGTAAAGTTGAACCAGATTTAGTTGAACAAAACTTTGAAGTGCGAGATGCAATAACCAAACTCTTGCAATACGAGTTGGGGCTTGAAGTTCTTCCGGCAGGACCTACAACTGCTCCTGATGAAGTGGCTGGTTCAGAAAGCTCTAACATGTCGCTTACAAAACTGAACGGAATTATGGGAAGGAATAAGTACACCACTAGGAAACCAGCAGCTGTGCAGAGGCTTAAGGTTACAAAGAAATCACTGAAAGACTGGCTGCAAAGAAATAGGGATATAATAGAATATCGGTTATCAATACCAAAGAATGATTCTTTTTGTTAATGATATAATGATAATGTGCTATATCTTGTAATTACCTTTGTGAAGTAAAGTCTATATATGATAAAGGAACTTGGCAAACGACTTAGTGTTAAGGATGTTGGGAAGAAATGAAGCCTTCTTCAGCTTTATTTCAAAAGCCCAAAAGAAGAACTCTTTCACACTTTTAATTTAATTTTTAAAAAAAAACATCCAAAAGAAGAAAATTGGGGTGAGAGAGGCTCGAATTCTCGACCTCAGGATAACTCAAAGCTATGAGACCTACGCGCTAGCTAACTGCGCCACCACCCCCAAGATGTCCAATGTCCTAATGTTATATTATGGGAATAAATAAAAATTAATAGAAAAAGAAGAAATTGGGGTAAAAGAGGCTCGAACTCAAGATAACTCGAAGCTATGAGACTTACGCACTAGCCAACTGTGCTACCATCCCGGGATGTCCAATGTCCTAATGTTATATTATGGGAATAAATAAAAATTAATAGAAAGAATGAGGAAAGCCCATTAAAGGCCCAAAAGGAGACCTCGCATTTTAAATTTAATGAAAAAAAAAACATCGAAAAGAAGAAATTGGGGTGAGAGAGGCTCAAACTCTCAACCTTAGGATAACTCAAAGCTATGAGACCTACGCGCTAGCCAACTGCACCACCACCCCGAGATGTCTAATGTCCTAATGTTATATTTTTGGAATAAATAAAAATTAATAGAAAGAATGAGGAAAGCTCATTAAAGGCCCAAAAGGAGACCTCGCATTTTAAATTTAATGAAAAAAAAACATCGAAAAAAAAAAACATCGAAAAGAAGAAATTGGGGTGAGAGAGGCTCGAACTCTCGACCTCAGGATAACTCGAAGCTATGAGACCTATGCGCTAGCCAACTGCGCCACCACCCCAAGATGTCCAATGTCCTAATGTTATATTTTCGGAATAAATAAAAATTAATAGAAAGAATGAGGAAAGCCCATTAAAGGCCCAAAAGGAGACCTCGCATTTTAAATTTAATGAAAAAAAAAAAACATCAAAAAGAAGAAATTGGGGTGAGAGAGGCTCGAACTCTCGACCTCAGGATAACTCGCAGCTATGAGACCTACGCGCTAGCCAACTGCGCCACCACCCCGAGATGTCCAATGTCCTAATGTTATATTTTCGGAATAAATAAAAATTAATAGAAAGAATGAGGAAAGCCCATTAAAGGCCCAAAAGGAGACCTCGCATTTTAAATTTAATGAAAAAAAAAACATCGAAAAGAAGAAATTGGGGTGAGAGAGGCTCGAACTCTCGACCTCAGGATAACTCGAAGCTATGAGACCTACGCGCTAGCCAACTGCGCCACCACCCCGAGATGTCCAATGTCCTAATGTTATATTTTCGGAATAAATAAAAATTAATAGAAAGAATGAGGAAAGCCCATTAAAGGCCCAAAAGGAGACCTCGCATTTTAAATTTAATGAAAAAAAAAAACATCAAAAAGAAGAAATTGGGGTGAGAGAGGCTCAAACTCTCGACCTCAGGATAACTCGAAGCTATGAGACCTACGCGCTAGCCAACTGCGCCACCACCCCGAGATGTCCAATGTCCTAATGTTATATTTTCGGAATAAATAAAAATTAATAGAAAGAATGAGGAAAGCCCATTAAAGGCCCAAAAGGAGACCTCGCATTTTAAATTTAATGAAAAAAAAAACATCGAAAAGAAGAAATTGGGGTGAGAGAGGCTCGAACTCTCGACCTCAGGATAACTCGAAGCTATGAGACCTACGCGCTAGCCAACTGCGCCACCACCCCGAGATGTCCAATGTCCTAATGTTATATTTTCGGAATAAATAAAAATTAATAGAAAGAATGAGGAAAGCCCGTTAAAGGCCCAAAAGGAGACCTCGCATTTTAAATTTAATGAAAAAAAAAACATCAAAAAGAAGAAATTGGGGTGAGAGAGGCTCGAACTCTCGACCTCAGGATAACTCGAAGCTATGAGACCTACGCACTAGCCAACTGCACCACCACCCCGAGATGTCCAATGTCCTAATGTTATATTTTCGGAATAAATAAAAATTAATAGAAAGAATGAGGAAAGCCCATTAAAGGCCCAAAAGGAGACCTCGCATTTTAAATTTAATGAAAAAAAAAAACATCAAAAAGAAGAAATTGGGGTGAGAGAGGCTCGAACTCTCGACCTCAGGATAACTCGAAGCTATGAGACCTACGTGCTAGCCAACTGCACCACCACCCCGAGATGTCCAATGTCCTAATGTTATATTTTCGGAATAAATAAAAATTAATAGAAAGAATGAGGAAAGCCCGTTAAAGGCCCAAAAGGAGACCTCGCATTTTAAATTTAATGAAAAAAAAAAACATCAAAAAGAAGAAATTGGGGTGAGAGAGGCTCGAACTCTCGACCTCAGGATAACTCGAAGCTATGAGACCTACGCGCTAGCCAACTGCGCCACCACCCCGAGATGTCCAATGTCCTAATGTTATATTTTCGGAATAAATAAAAATTAATAGAAAGAATGAGGAAAGCCCATTAAAGGCCCAAAAGGAGACCTCGCATTTTAAATTTAATGAAAAAAAAAAACATCAAAAAGAAGAAATTGGGGTGAGAGAGGCTCGAACTCTCGACCTCAGGATAACTCGAAGCTATGAGACCTACGCACTAGCCAACTGCACCACCACCCCGAGATGTCCAATGTCCTAATGTTATATTTTCGGAATAAATAAAAATTAATAGAAAGAATGAGGAAAGCCCATTAAAGGCCCAAAAGGAGACCTCGCATTTTAAATTTAATGAAAAAAAAAAACATCGAAAAGAAGAAATTGGGGTGAGAGAGGCTCGAACTCTCGACCTCAGGATAACTCGAAGCTATGAGACCTACGCACTAGCCAACTGCGCCACCACCCCGAGATGTCCAATGTCCTAATGTTATATTTTCGGAATAAATAAAACTAGCCAACTGCGCCACCACCCCGAGATGTCCAATGTCCTAATGTTATATTTTCGGAATAAATAAAAATTAATAGAAAAAACGAAGGCCGAGAAGGAGACCTCACATTTTAAATTTAATAATTTAATGAATGGGTAGTGAGAGAGGCTGTAGCCAACTGCACCACAGAATTACCCAACCTAGGAGTTAACTAACAACATAAATGTTATATATTTGAAGAAAAAAAAAAGTGATTTTAAATATTGAAAAATAATGTTATATTTATGGGATTTGTGAATATTAAACCTTTATTTAAAAAAAGAAAATAACTTTTTTTATAATTTATTCTGACGGGAGTTATTGCATTCATCGAACACGCGCGCGTAACGAACGAAACCCTAGTTTTAAAACCACATATTTCCTTCATCTCCAACTCCCTTCGACCATCGGATACTTCCAGTAGAGCAGTATCCATGGCGGCCTTGTTCCGCTATTCGAAATCCTCTACGGTTTCGTCTCTTTCATCCACTTCTCTCTTCAGGAGATGCTTCTCTTCAGCTGTTGCTGCTGAACTCAGCTCTCCTACTACTACGACTTTGCCTTTTAATTTAGACCACAATCTTCCCCGCAAAGATCCCAAGGATCGGAACGTTCAATGGGTGTTTCTTGGATGCCCTGGCGTTGGCAAGGGGACCTATGCTAGTCGTCTTTGTAACCTTCTCGGTATCCCTCACATCGCCACCGGAGATCTCGTCCGCGAAGAACTCGCTTCCTCCAGCCCGCTTTCTCGCCAGGTATTTTCCCCTTTCATCCATTTATGTAACTTGAAATTTAATCTTTCTGGATCGTCTTGCAGCTGATAATTTAAATCTACTTTGATATTGAGCGTTAGTATCTCGAAGGGTTGCTAGTAGATTGGATTTGGCGATTTAGTCAATCATTGTGTTCATTTTTTCAAATTATGATGATAACGTGTAACAGTTGCACGATGAAGGTTTTTAAGCTTTTTTTTTTCCCCTTTCTGTCTTTGTTTGTCTCATTTTAATCTCGATCGATGCAGCTATCAGAGATTGTTAACCAGGGAAAATTGGTATCGGATGAGATCATTATCAACTTGTTGTCCAAGAGACTTGAAGCCGGTGAGGCGAAAGGTGAATCTGGATTTATCCTTGATGGTTTCCCTCGGACAATTAGACAAGCAGTGAGTATTCTGTGGTAAAGATGAAATGTGTCATTAAGCTTTCACTTTTTCCTTCCTTTTTTTTCTCTTTCTTCGTGTTTGGTCTAATAATAGTAGTAATTTGGCTATAGTTTTTTCATACAGAAGTTTTCCGGCGAATTCTAAAGTGGGTCCATCTTTTAAACCAATTGTCAAAAAGTCATTTCCTTATCACCTCCACTGTTCATTGTCTTGCATGTGGAGTTGTGCCATATATTTTTTAGCTCCATAGTAATTACTCATTTTCAATTTTTGCGTAAATGAAAATAATATCTTGGATTCGAACTCCTTAGATTAATTCAAGTTTCATGATCTTGAACCTCTTTCTGAAAAGATTAATAAATGATTTTACTACGGAAAAGTGTTAATTTCCTTCTAATTCTGCTTTTTTAGACTAAAATCCTGAGTGGAGTAAGCAACAATAAACACCTTCTGATGCTGATTTTGTAGATAATTATGAGATGGGATTCTATTTTCCCTCACTCTTTCTTTTCCATTTTACGTCATCTTTCCGTTTTCTTTTTGCGTATTTCTTTTTGTTCTGAAATCTTTACAGGCCCCATCTTAGATTCTGGTTTCTTTGCTTTCATTTTAGGAAATTTTGGAAGAGGTGATTGATATAGACTTGGTGGTTAATCTAAAGCTCCGTGAGGATGTGTTACTTGAGAAATGCCTTGGGAGAAGAATCTGTGGTCAGTGTGGAAAAAACTTCAATCTTGCCTCCATTAATGTAAAGGGTGTAAATGGCAATCCTGGAATGAGTATGCCTCCACTGCTTCCGCCTACACATTGCATGTCTAAACTAATTACTCGGGCAGATGATACCGAAACAGTTGTAAAAGAGCGTCTTCAAGTGTATAATGAAAAGGTAGCTCCCAATTCTGTTGCATTCTGAATATCAGTGATGAATTAAGGGGGAAAATAACGTTACTTTTTGCTTGTCGCGCTGTTCGTTCTGATGTTGTTCTAAGCTAATGACGATTTCTTGTTCTCTATTTGTTTTTGTGTGTGGCATCAGAGTCAACCTGTTGAGGAGTATTACCGTAGTAGAGGGAAATTGTTGGAATTCGACTTACCAGGTGGCATCCCAGAGTCTTGGCCCAAGCTACTGAAAGTTCTTAATCTTGATGATTTTGAGGAGAAACTTTCTGCAGCAGCCTAAATTACAGTACGGCAAATGATTGGTTAGTTAATTATTTTCCACATATACAACAGGCACAAACAATTTTGCAGGACAATAAAAAACTGAAAATTAAACAAACTTGAGATTTATTTATTAATTTCTAAATTGTTATGTTGTTCTTTCTTTTCCCCAATTGGGAAGGAGGGAGGAGAATTATTTCACATGTTCTAATTTGGTCGAGTAGATTCGCTGCAAACAGGGATTTGTAACAGCATTGAGTATCTATCTCGACTAGAAGAAAAATGATTTTGAATTCTTGTACCACAATATTCATTAGTATAACATTGTTCCATTTGATGATTTTTATGATGTTCTGTTCGTTGGTTCAACTAGTTTCTCTTTTGACAGATTTATGGAATATATTTATGTAAATGCTTCTTCTTCCCATTTTGAGATTATAGATTAAATGATACTTTGATCTATTGGCAGGCCTTTTAGAAACCCCTAGTTCCTCAGGGTCATTCCTTTTTTCTTTTTTTTGGTATATGTCATATCATCAATGAAACATTTGTTTCTCATTAGAAAGAGAAATTACATTAAAGCTAGACTAGACTTGTGTCAGTTTTAGTAGATTTGTTCATGGATCGATCTGGTGCAAGTGCATTATTGTACTTATAGTAGCCCTTACTGGGTTTTCCCTGTGGAATTATTGTCTATATCTGTTGGAGATTCAGGTCTTAAATCTTCCTAATGACGAAATTTTCTTGCAAGCTTCTGAAAGGGGTTGGTTTTTTAGTAAAACAGTGTGAGATCTCATATCGGGGAGGGGAACGAAACATTCTTTATAAGGGTGTGGAAACCTTTATTTAGTAGACGTATTTTAAAACCCTTTGACGGGATGTTTGAAAGGGAAAGCCCAAAGAGCACAATATTGGCTAGTGATAAGCTTGAGCTGTTTGAGAGGGGAGTAGATTTCTTTCCCGTCCATAGCATATGGTCTGGAAGAGTGTTCTAAATGCCCCACCCGGGTACATATTCTATTGCAGCTGGCCGAGCTGGCTGGCTCTAGCATTTGCCAGGCAGTAAGTTCACACAGCTGCAGACATTGAAACCAGAGAGCACAATACCAGCTAGCTCTTGACTACAATAGTTTGGTGGTTCAAGATGGTTTGTGCTCCACACTTTTTAATTCATTCTATTGCAGCTGGCCGAGCTGCCTGGCTCTAGTTTTTGCCAGGCAGTAAGTTTACACAGCTGCACACATTGAATCTAGGGCTCAATACCAGCTCTTGACTACAATAGTTCGATGGTTCAAGATGGTCTGTGCTCCATATTTTCCCGATCATTTGCTCAACACTATGTTCGTCAAAATTCTATTTTTATGCGTTTGAAAAATCATTCCAAATAAGTCTTGGGTTATGAAAATTTACAAAAATGTTATAATTGAAAGTTGTTCAATTATGAGGGGCTTAATTTTAATTTTGTGAACAACAGGAAATAAATTGAAAAACTCCAAATACTATAAGGCCATCCTAATTTATGACAATTTTCTGATTATTAAACGTCATTAGAAATAAAATTATTTTATACCATCGTTATTTTTAGGTGGAACGATAATAATTTATTATTTTTTTTTTTTTAAGGGGAATTGTATTTTAGATACTAATAAAAATTTAATTATATTTTTGAAATAAAGTATAAAATTTATGGATATTTTAATTAATTTAGCCTGAGATCTTTGGATGAACTAGCGACACGTGTAAAGATCTTATGATGAGACATCGACACGTGTAATTCTACCAAATCGAAGAGGTGCAACGTGGCGTGTTCGTATTGGATGAGCAAACTATTTTTTATATTATTGCAGGTTCAATAATATCATATCCAAACTTTGAATTACCATCCCCGAAAATAATATAATAATAAATTGTTAAAATTACACTAGAAAACGACGTCTCACGTTCCGTCATGATTGCTGATATCCTACTACCGGTCACAGCGTACCAATTTAAATCTATAATATATATATAATTTAAATCTTTAATATAATATATATATATATATATATATATATATATAAAAATTAAATTAGACAAACCATTTTAATCAATTTTCATATTTTAGTTCTAGTTTTCAAATTAATAAAAATACCACCTTGTGTAAAAATTCATAAATTTTTTCAAAAATCTAAAAAATACTTTTAAACTTAAAATATATATATATATATATATATATATATATATATCTAAAAAAATTTAAAAGTTTTTAAAAAATTAAAAAAAAAAAATACTTTGAATTTAATAAAAAAAAAAATTCTAAAAAGTTACTTCGAGAGAAAATTATAATTACATCCCTTCCCTTTTAAAAGTTAGAATTTGTCTTCATAATTTGATAAACCTCACAAATGTTTTTTACAATTTGGTAGAACTCTCAACTTTCCCCTACCCGATAGTTATATGTACCAAGCCGTTATTATTGCCTTTTGCTTACATTCTCACATAACACCAATTTCAACTTCTCAAATCTTGCTTTCAAAACTCTCATTCGAAATCTCCCTGTCCCTGTTTTCTAATTTTTTTTTCTTGAACCGGAGCCTGAAGCTCGAGTATACTTCGCTTGGTTGTAAGCGACGCAAGAATGAATAGACTTAACTCGCTTGTTGCTGGAAAGTGAATGCCACACAATCGCAAGTTCGCTGCCATCGAAGTGAGATTGTGACAAGTGATAAACAATCTATTAACCACAGGCTATATATCTATCATATAAACTAATTTAAACATCTAAACTCATAAATTAAATTTCAATTTTTTTAAAACTATAACAATCAAATTTGATTTTTTTTTAAATAATATATTTGTAACACAATTTTATCTAAATCACTCAAATAAATTATTTATCTTAAACTCCACTAAACTAGCAAAAAGATTTATACAATTTTGGATAATAATTAGAGAAAAAAAAAATCAATTTAGATATTCAGTTGTTTAAATAAAAAAAATTGATGTTTAATTAATATAATTTAAAATTTGTTAATTAATTAATTTTATCTTTTTATCTTTGATTAATTAATTTCATAAAAAATTATTATAATTTGTTAATAAATGTATCATTATATTATTTTATAACAAAGGTTTTTTATATTAAATTTTGGTAGATTTTGTTTTTATCAGATACCTAATTATTAATAAATAAGAATAAATATAAAAAGTATAAAATAAAAAATAAAAAACCAGTCAAAATTTTAATTTAGGTGTATTTACATCCGTGAAAGAAATTATAATATGTGTGCGAGCGTATATTAAAAAAAGTTATTGGCCAACGGGAATGGACGAAAAATTAGCCAAATCTATTGATATCCGCGAATCTTTTGGTAAATCGGCTCTGAAATGCCGACACGTGTCCCGACTAAATCTTTCGGATCCATACAATCTCTTTAGCTCGCGGCTTTAGATTTAGTTCCGCTTCTGAAATCCGTGGCCCGAGTTTTCGGCCACGTTGGAAATATCTTCGTCATACGTGGCACATTTAAACCATCCCAGAGCTCCAATTTGTCCACGTCATTCTCCGTGAGCTCTCTACAATATCTTCTTCCATTTTTTTTTGTTAATATTTTGTTATATCTCAAATTAGTTCTGAAGAGAGAAGAAGGAAAAAAAAAAAAAAAAAAAAAAAAACAGAAAATTCGGCCATTACCTCATTTCTTCAACCTTTGGCTTCCGGGTTCCGAGGCTGGTCAAGAACTTCGTCACTGCTACAGTACTCGAAAATTACAGAGAGGTGAAATTCAACAAGTTCTGGATTGAAGAGGAAGTTAAGCTCTAGATTCTCCATTTGTTGAGACCTTTCTTTTGTCTTCTCCAGCCTCCAGATCGATCTATTTCATGAGATTGGTGAAGTTCTGATGGTGATGTTCTTCATGCATGTTTTCGTTTCTAACGCTGCTGTTGTTTGATTCGTAGCTAGTCGATTTTGGTGATCCATACTTGTTGTTTTATTTGTTTTATTTTTTTTTTCATCTTTTTTTTTTTTCAGTAAAAGTCAATGATGAATCTACATCAAGTTTTTATAGATTAGTTCGTTGATCTTCTAGGTAATTTGTAGATCGGTTTTTGTGGAACGTAGGTTTCTTGCTGTTAATGTCCGGAGATTCTCGGTTTGATTCACTTAGGGTTTGATAATTGTTTTTTAAAAATTGATTTATTAATCTGTCGGGTTCAGTTACGTTGTTTCTTCACTTTCTTGGATTAATTACTTAACGTCTGTAAACATTTGTTTTTGCAGTGTGTGTTGTTCTTGTTTGTTCATATGTAATGGTTAGGGTTTTAAGGTGCGGTGGTTTTTCCAGGGAGCAAGCGACCATTGGATTTTGAGGCTCCTTGTTGGATTTAGAATATGCACTGAATCTGTCTCCAATCCTCCACCATAGTCTGCCTTGGGGTTCTTGAACACTGCATAGAGCTATTTTTTCTGAATCTGATTGACGTCAAGTGCCAACCCTGATGAGTGCTAATGCCGACAGGCACAAAGTGAAAGAGTTAAGAGGACCAAATTGTAACGCACAGGATGGGAATGGAAGTGTGAACGATGGTGTGTCTGGAAGGGAACAGAGACCGGTGGAGGAAAATGAGTTGAAGGTCAATGGATTGACTAGAAATGCAGAAGATGGGCGAAATCCTACTGTTCAAGCCCAGGACATTGTACAAATACAACAGCAACAGCAGCCTCAAGGATCTATGGTCTGCTGGGAGAGATTTCTACATCTTAGGTCCCTCAAGGTTTTGCTTGTAGAAAACGATGACTCCACTCGCCATCTAGTCACTGCACTGCTTCGTAATTGCAGTTATGAAGGTCAGGAAATTGGTCTTTCTTGTAACATTTTCTCCCTGCATATGACCGGTTATTGATGCATTTACATTTCAGATATTATTATTATGATTATTATTTGTTTTTCGATTTCAACGGTTTATGGTCTGAAGTTTCTGTTAACATGTGGACTTTGTTAGTTAGGAAATACAAATTTCATTGCATGAGCAAGTGTCTAAATCACCGTACATACTTTAGCTAACAGTACAAACATAAATGGAAGGGATAAACTTGAAAGGTAATGCCTAAAAGAACTACCACGACTGGTTGAAAATATATAAGCCTATAAATTTTAAGTACTTCCAAGTATGGAGAATAGAAGAGATAACAGTGTGAAAGAATCCCAGATGATACTAATCATCACAGTGGCAGGTTCCATTTTTAAACAAAGATCTTTATAATATCTGCTTCCATCCTTACCTTCAAGCTAGAGTATTCTTGATTAGCTTTCTCTAGAGCTTAGAGTTCTTCTATGAGCTCCTTCTAAAGCCTGGAGTTCCTCAGTTCTCTTTTTGTGCCTATCCTTCCCAGCTCCGGTCAAATGCAGCTGGGCAATTCTACTCATGTAATAGTCTTTTTTTTTTTTTTTTTTTTTTTTTTTTTTTTTTTTTTTTTTTT